TACTACTGGGGGCCAAAGAAGAGAAGACGACTGAGATGGACCGGAACTGGGGTCAGATAGTAGAGAAGCAGCGAGAACATATAGACAGGCTAACAGACGAGGTACATAAGCAGAAACAATTCGTGAGACAGATGTCAGATGAACTAGGCCGTGTTAAGTCATTGCTCGTAGAAATAACAGAAACTGCGGAACAAAGGATGTTCATCGTCTTCTGGTTGTTACTATCCGATCCAAAGTGTTTAGGCATAACTCGTTTGAGGGAGGACATGACTGTCAGACTGAAGGCAATAGCTGAAACGAAGACCACCACTTTGACGAGTTCCAGACATGGTTGGATGGTGAAAGGTGCAGGCGCACCGCGGTCTTGAATCGGTTCGCCGCCCACGTCACAAAGAAAACTCACAGGGAATCACACGGACTTGATGTCGCATCTTGTAGCAGCCCTGAGAAGTGTGTGTTGAAGGAGGGGTGGGCATCGTATGATAGCCAAGAATATAATACGGGTTCCCTAACTGCTTCGTCACGTAGTGTCGTCGATCTCTTGGCCTTCGCAACAGACTGTATTCGCCACTGTAAGGAGACCGTAGACGAGTACGGTCTCTGTGATGAGGGTGTCGCGACTGTTAAGGATGACCTTCCTCGCAATATGACGTCTCTGTTGAACAGTTGCTCGGACGTCAGATGGATCCCACGATCATGGCAAACGGCGAGGGTTGTGTCAAAGCACGAACACTCTTGCAACGCTTTACAAAGTCACCACATGTACGTGTGGATAACGATGTGGAAGACAGTACATACAGTCTAAAAGGAGTGGTTCAGTGGGTGTGCAGCGAAGGGATGTGCGAAGAAGGAGACGTGGACATGACAATGCAGCAGAAAGAGGGGACATATACACCTGCGGATTTCAAGAAGTTGCAGGGCACTGTGGCACGGAATGGGGAAATGTTGGTTGATGGGTCGAAGGACGAGTTGAAGAGTGGTGCTGCAGAAAATTTGGTGTTGTCCAGAATGAAGGACATTGTACAAACACCGCCAGAAAACTTTCAAGATGTTCCTGTCGTTGTTGCAGATGGTGTGGAATATATTATGCTGGATCAACTTGTGGACTTCATGAAAAAAGGTGCGGACGACAGGAACATCATCCATGAGGTGTTGCACGAAGTCACAGAGTTTGCACTGCAGGGTGAAAATCTGATAGAATTTGTGTCAGTAAGAACAGAAGACAACATCATATCTGGCAGACCGTTGTGGGGGAAATTATTATCAGTTGCTTTGGAGCAGCTCGGTCTTGCAAGTTGCGATGTTGAGAGACAAAGAGAAAGAGAAGAAAGAGTGGAAGTTGATGGCCAGGGAAACAAATCTAGCAATCATTCCAGACAATGGACAAACATCAGCAGCACAAGAATCAATAACCAGTATGGCAGTCGATATGCCTCCCATGCAGACAGCAACGAGAGAGGAGGTAATGTGTTTCGATATCTTCAATGCTTTCACAATGGAGAAAGAACAGTGGGATCGTGGATTTGAAGAGGCCAGTTTGCCAAGTTGTTGTGCAGAGTTCATAGACAGTGCAGATGAAGAAGATGAAGAAGAGGATGAGGGGGCATCATCTTCTGACGTGGAAGTGAGCGGCAGCGATGTCAGTAACGACGAGGAAGACGAGGAACATGATGTATACTATGATTTGAAGGGGGCGGGTGGACAAGTGACAAAAGGGTGGGCACATGCAATTTTGAGGTTAGCACGTGCTTTTCCCGATCCGCACAAAGTGCTGCGTGTTGTCATGAAGGCGGCAACACCAGATGGTGCACTACAGTATGCCGCAGTGACCAGCATAATGAAATCATGCAACAAGGGGAAAAAGTGGTCACGTGTTGGCAAGGCATGGTTTGTTCTGGTCAATAGAGAGGCTGTGCTAGCAACGTCACTGACATGGGGAGTAAACCTGAGTCGCCTCATACACGGCGCACTGGCGACAGCTTGGGGAGAGACATTGCACCACGGCTTGTCAACAAGAGATGCAATAGTTAGTGCTCGGCCACGGCAGCAACCGGAGACACACCCACACACCACGACAGAAGGGCTGGACATCACGGATGATGACAGACATGCATAGCATAGAGCAATAAAGTGGTAGTACAAAACATACGTTTTGATACGCATGGGAAACTCCACCTGTACATCCCTCTATGTCTGCCTCAATTTCAACGACGGTCGGGTTCACTACTGCGTGTCATATCCAGTGTCCACCGGTGTTGTTTGTTGTCGTTCTGACCCTCAATAGTGAATCTCTCTCTCTCTCTCTCTCTCTCTCTCTCTCTCTCTCTCTCTCTCTCTCTCTCTCTCTCTCTCTCTCACATATGTCGAGTTGTAGCTATATTAGAACCTGTACATCCTTCTGCGGGTTCTGTGTCATGCTGCCTGTTGTTTGCCTCTCCAAGTACATGCGGTTCAGTACAGCGTGCAGACACAGGATTGAACAATATTTCATTCATTTGATGATTGTTACGATGTATGTCATAATTTATTGCCTTTTGGAGTACGTGAGACACATCAGACCCCCTGTGATGACCAATGTGTGTACGTTGTATTTTTTCTTTTTGCATTCTCTGTAATTCAAATTCAAATGTATTAGGTTGTGAAATGTTTTGGAAGTGGTTGCGGAGGTCGGCTGAGGTGCCGAGGTGCAATCATTTTCACGCGATCATGGAAAACACATACCACATTCACAAACGTCGTGGGTGGATAGTTGCGAACTTTGGCAGCCGCACAAACGTGGTGATGAATGTTGTGTCATATATCGTGTACCATGCGTAAGTCATTGCCTCTTCCTACACGACCATAGAACCTGTCATGGCATATAAATTATCGTGTCGAACGGTTGACTATTAATCTTTGTCAATTAGGATCAGCGACACAGCCCATTCGTACCAAAAACGGCAATCAGTACTCCCTCTCTATCTCTTTCTCACAGAGAAGAGGATGTGCGACACTTACACAATATAACAAAATATGCTCTACAACTTATAATTCAAACGACCTGAACCAATGTACAAAATGCTAATCAAAACACTGTCCGCACCGCTCTGTTTGTTTTTGGAATGCACTGCGTGCACAGAAAATGGACAGCGGTCCAAGGGTGTGCGACTGTGGCAGGCGTTTCATGTCATTACGAACTTTGAACTCACATCATGCGAGGGCATGCCCGACCGTGGCGGACGAAAGAACACATGGTCAGGAGATGGGTGTGGTCGATGACGCCAGACCATCAAGTATAGGTGCAGTGAATCTCGTGAGCGATGAGAGCGAGGACGTCGGAGCCCCCGAGAATGTAGACGGGGAGGGCGGGACATTCGAAGAGCAGCAACCGCAGCCTGTCGAGTCTTTTGACAGCTCTCGCAAGCTGGCGGCACTAATTTTCTCCGCCAGGGGCGCCAGGGGCGGCGTCGGTATATCGCAGAGCGACATAGATGCTCTCTTGTCACTTCTCACAAACCCGAGATTCAACACGAGAGACATCGCGTATCGTAATAGTCGAGAGTGTTTGACATGGGCAGGGAGTCTAGCAGAGGCTGCTGGATGGAAAGAGTTGGATCTACGTTGTGACGATTGGCCAGGGGATGCACACTCCATCTTGTGGCACCGGGACTGACGAACGACATTTCTGTCGATTTTTCATATCGCATTACAAAAATGCGAGACGGTATCTTCTCTAGAAGTGTCTCCGCCATCAGAGCACCTCAGTATATCTAGCCCACGCAGCGGAGCGCTAAGTTATCACATCCAGTCGATCATTCTAGCGGACAAAGGTGTGAACGAGAATGGTAATCCACGTTATGTTATCCCTCTTTCATTGTATTCCGACAAGACACATACAGACAGTCGTCAAAACAGACGGCGTACCCTCTAATAATGTCATTAGCCGACCACGCATCCGAAGCCACACTGTTGGCCTATCGTTTTGTACTTCATCATCGTCCACGTGACAAAGGATGGGGTCTGCATTCCACCACATTCAGAAAGTGAAAGACCATCATTTTGCACAAGGCCCTTTCAGTAGTGTTGCAGTCTACAAAGGAGGCATCTCATAACGGAATAATGATACCGACAACGCGATTCGGGGACATAACTGTCCACCCTTTCCTCCTCAACTATATCCAGGACTACCGAGAACGATGTGCGATTGCAACTGTGAAGTTTGGTGTATGTCCGACATGCACCGTGTCCAAAAACGATTTTGATGTCATAGCCGATTTCACAGACTGCATGAGATCACAGACGCTAGAAACAGACCTCACACCAGATGTGTTCACCGCCGACGACATCGACGTTCGACGTGGAATGGAAGCACAAATGTTGGAGTTGAACATGCATAGGCATGTTCAACAGAACGACCTTTGGGGGTTTTACAGGGGCCCCAATGGTGACGATCCTCAGCTAGACTACCACCTGGCATTGCAACAAGACCGCATGCACACAATCGAGCACGACATATTCCTGCACATGATTCATACATTCCGGACCGCAGCCTTTGATAAGTTGTCGCGCTTACTACAAACAGAGATCCCAAAGGAACTAGATGCAAGGTTGGAAAGCGTTAGTGAGAGATGCACGCGAACATACCCCCACTTGTGCTGCCGGTGGCCACTGACAACGATTTTTTTTCGAGGGAGGGACGGTTCGAGGCGAAGCAACACCGGTCTGTGATGACAGTGTGAGTGTTCCTTATTTCTAATATTATCCCGCGCTCGACAGCCAAGGGCATTACCGTTTGTTTTGTGAAACTGATGAAAATGTACATACGAGTGTTTCGGCTTACAACACACACTCGTGCTTCGCTCGATGAATGCGACACTTTGATCACAAACTTCAGAACGACCATCAAAACAAAATTGGAAAAATATCAACCATCAAGATAGAAACTCCTAAGTTGCACGATCTCATGCATCTGAGAACGTGTATTGAGCGATCCGGTATCCCCGACAACTTCGGGACAGATGTTTGGAAACATCACCACAGAAAATTTTGCAAACAGCTATACTTGTCATCAAACAAGCGGAAAGCTTCAACCCAGATGGTAAACCGCGTACGTCGGTCATTGGCGTTGCGCGAAAAGACCGAGATCATGAGGAAACGGAGGAAGAGAATGGTTGAGAACCGGTCGTCCATCACAGACTGTATGGCCACCGGAATGAATACCCTCGCACTACGCGATACGGCAATGCTGCAACTGCGGTGGTTCGACATCGATAATGAGTTTTTGGAAGTATAATTGTACAAAATTTCTCCAACTAAAGTTAGGATTTCCTTGTTCTTTAGATGTTTTATACTTAAAATATCTTTTCAATCAAAAGTTTTTATTTTTAGGTTGTAGACTTTTGAATAAATTGTGGAAAAAAAACTTCAAACAGACTCAATCATGCAAAACACGGCGGGACGCCCATCTATGTGTTTGATGATTGATTTTCAAGAGTTTCTATGGAATCAACTATCACGATCGTCAATMAAAAAAAAARATTTGAAATATGTATTTACTTATTGTAGTCTTACCTCTACTCGGTAGTTTAGTAGCAGGCGTATTTGGTCGCTTTCTTGGTTCACGAGGGGCTGCCTTGGTAACAACCAATTGTGTTTCTTCAGGTCTGTGTTTCATAGTTTTTTATGAGGTTGCACTGGGAGCCAGTGCTTGTTATATCAAATTCGCACCATAGATTTTGTCAGAAATGTTTGATGCTTCTTGGGGTTTTCTGTTTGATACTCTGACTGTGGTTATGAAAGTACATGATAGGCATTACATAAAAAGAGGAGATACTTGTATAAAACAGATACGCCGAGATTTTCGAGGGGTGGCTGTCTGGTACATAGAAGGCCGAAGGTCCAAATGCTTCGATACAATCGAACACCAAATATTGATGAGTCTTCTGCATAAGAAGATTCAAGATGATAGATTCTTCACTCTAGTGCGAAGGCATACGCGAGGGAGAAGCCATTGACAACCATGCGTGTAAGATACTTAAAGAGCTTCCTTGCAGACGCGGTTTTCGAGCTGCGCTGACGACATACGTGGTGGAGAACGGTTGTCAACCTCCTTCTAACAACTTGCTTATACACACACGGACACACCTGGCCATCGCCAGCGTACAGGATGGAACAAACAAGGGCACACTTGTTCAAACTGCAAGAGGGTCGCCACAGTTCCATAGGAGACCAGTGCACAGTGACGTCACAATTAGAGCAGGCGACGAATGCACATGGTTTGCATCAATAGCCATGTTTTTTGTCGTTGACGCACCCGCGGACAACGATAATATGGAACACAACTGCGGATTTGTGCAATGGTACAAAGGAGGTCGACAGTGAACGGCAACGTGTGACAGGTTACAAGAAATTGAAATGGGAGAAGTTGAATGGACATCAACACAGTAGCGTCGTTTCGACCGACACTATTGTAGACACAGTTCACATTGTTCCGCACTTCTCTAAACCACAATGGGCATCGAAGCAGCATGCAAAACAGTGTGAGGACTGTTTTTATTTGAACAAGTACATATTGTAGAAGAAACAAATGCGAAGTTTTTATGTTTGCTAAGAGAGAGAGAGAGAGAGAGAGAGAGAGGTGTCGTAACGCCCTTCATTAGAAGTTTGACAAATTTTGTATATCTGTGTATCTGTCATCACCACGGGACAATCATGTTGTTTCTTCCGAAGTATAGGGGAACAAGAGAGGACATTCGTCTCTTTCTTTCCGTTACTTGTTGAGAAATATCATGTCAAATGTGGTCAAGCTTATGAAGCGGTGAAAACCACATGCGAGACGAAAGTGTCCCCAAAAATTCACTACTGCGTGACATTTACATGCTCAACAGTGACATCGTTTCAGTTTTGGCACACAGTAGTCAATCTCTCTCTCTCTCTCTCTCTCTCTCTCTCTCTCTCTCTCTCTCTCTCTCTCTCTCTCTCTCT